ATTTCTCTTTCTCTCTCTCTCTCTCTCTCTTTTTTTCTATTAATGATTAAATTGAATATCGTTAGTTAAGTCTGTTTAGCTAAAATGAAAATATTTTAACACATTTAGTTCATTTATTAGTTACAATATTTACTAATTGATACATGTTGTGTATAACCCATTTTGTGATGGAAGTTTTTGACTAATTAGAATTTTTTGTATTTTACAGAATAGTAATTTATGCACATGATTGTATGTATAACTCAGTTAGATGAACTCTTGTCAGATTTCAGGGAGTGTGTTAAGGAATATTCTTTGATATCGTCAAGAGATGGCATTAGAAGTCATTTATTGTCTTACTTAACATTTTTCCTTTTGAACACATGGTTTGCAAAACATTTTATTTTTTAATGACTAAGTCTTCTTGAGGGTAAAGTTCGAACTGCACTGTGCGGTATAATTCAATTATTAGATTCTTTTTATGAAACTATTCAGTTCTTGCCCTTTAAGCGTTGACATTCGATTTAGGCATTTTAGCCTACATTATGTATATAATTAAGTTTAATTAAAATTATGTAAAACCCTCCAGGCCATGCATCTCATTTTCGATTATTAATTTGATTCGAACTTGATCTAGAATTTCGTTTCAACCCTGTCAAATGTCAAGCAAATCATCACTATGTCTGAATGCAATTACAAATTCAGACAAAGGTTTAAATAAATCTCTTATTTAAAAAGACCTTAGAACATAAAAGCATAATTAACATATAATAACATGCCGAACAAGTATTAATTTAGAAGTCAAACAACAACATCAGCGTTAACACTGATTTTTGTTGTTTGACTTCTAAATTAATGCATAAAGGAATTCTTTTATGCTAGCAAAATCAACTACAGATTATGGTGATCCAATTAAACAAGAATAGTCAAATTCAAACTAAAAATGTGGACTAGTAGTCAAACACTACACAATTTAATTTTAATCTAAGCTGGCTCAGTAATGTGTTGTAACAAGCTCGTAACTCGTCGTAACGAATTCAAATATTAGCAGCGATAATGCAAAGATGAATAATTACAAATTACCAGATGCTGGTAGGAAGTAATGCAGTGTGCAAGCAGAGGCTAGAAATGAATTCTGCCTTACAACCCCAAAAACTTAGTTTAAAAACTATGTATGTGATTTTCCTTCTGGTGGAGAAATGGAAAGTGAAAATTACAGCAAAAGCTGAAATTATAAACAATTGCTTAATTTATATAATAATAACTGTACATATCTTTGAGGAATAATTTTCTTCATCGTTTATGCATTTGGTTTCTTTTTTCAATATGTTTCCTACTCATTTAAAAATTTTTGGATTTAATTAAAGATTTCTGCTATTCCAAAAAAACTAAATGCATTTGGAATGTACAGAAAAAGCTGCTAATTTTATTTTTTTAAAAGTATGAACATTCAGAAAAAACATATGCAAGAAAAATAATATGCAATTATATATGGTATGGGCCGGTGACACAGCTGGTGTGGCAGAATTTTTAGAATTTAGTGACACACCGAGCAACAAAATCTAGAAATGGCAAAACTTTACAAATTTAGGGCAGGCACTGGGAGCAGCTTTATGTAACAGTTTCTTTCTTCAATATGTTTCCTCTTCATTGTAGAATTTTCGGATTCAATTAAAAATTTCTGTTAGTCTAAAAAACCAAATGCAATTAGAATGTATAGGAAAAGGCGCTAATTTTATTTCTTTAGTAATATGAACATTCAGAATAAATATGAAATGATATATGGTAAGGGCCGGTAACAGAGCCGGTGTAGCAGAATTTTTAAAATTTAGTGACACACAGGGCAACAAAATCTAGAAATGGTAAAATTTTAGAATTTACGATCCACAGAGTTTGCATCAGGTGGGAAAATGCACAGCACCAGCCCTGCACAGAGCCAGCCAGCTAGGGTTTTCAGCACTCGGGAACAACTGAAGATTCTGTGCCCCCTTTTGTATGAAGAAAATGAAAAACATTTTATGTTAAAATTCTGTAACATGAATTTCGTACCGCATGGGTGCTGCGCCCAAGGACAGATGTTCCCACCCTAGCTACGCCACTGATGATGCATTGAAACATATAAAATGTATCTTTTAAATTGTCAGCTTTCAATTTCTTTATTAACAGAAAAATTCCTTTCCATAAATACCTGTCCATGTGATAAGATTAGAAGCATTTTTGATATTTTCCACGCTTGTGTCTAGTGAAAAGTAGAGAAAACTAAGGGAAGATAAACACATTAATACTTCTAGTATCAGAAGTAAAACAACCAAAAATTATGTTTTCATTGTTCCTCTGAAAATTCTCCCAAAAGTAAGTTAATCACAAACTTACTATAAAATACATCCATTACGTGTTAATACCATGAAGACATTTTTCTGGAATCTTCTAGATTTGTGGGTCTATACATCTTGCTTTCAAAACCTTCTAAACTTTCCAAGATGCAATTTCTAAAATCCTAAAGAAAAATTACCCCTACCAATTCTGTAACAGTAAAAAGCCAGAAATATGTTGGGGGGGGGGAATCAGAGGAAAAAAGTGTCAAAGTAATTTCATAGGGAAAAGTGATGCATATTGAGACAAATATATGGGGGGGTCTCTTACCATGAAAAAATTAAAAGAGCATTTTTAATTAATTACATAGCTATTTTGCTTTTTCTAAGAACTGTTTTGTATGCATTTATTACCTTCTCCATTTTTCAGATTCAAAATAGTGTATAATAAGTCACCTTAAATGGAAAGTAATGTCACTTTATAATACAATAGCAAAAAATAAAAATGTTTAATTTTAATGTTATTTCTTGAATACAATTTCAATATATTAGCATTATTTTAATGAAATTGATCAATGTTATAATGTTTAAAAAATATCATTGAAAAATTCCCATTTTCTGAATTAAAAATTTTCCATAGAAACTGATCTCTAAATTGCCAAAATGTTGATAAATCTCCAAATTTGGAAACGTTTAATAAAGAATTCCCATATCCAAAAGTGAAAAGTTGTTTAACAGCTTTTCATTAGAAAAAAATGAAATAATTTTGAAACGCTTATGTTTCACCTCTTGCTCAGAAACTTGAGTGTCTCACTGTTTATATTAAAAATAGGAACAAATTATAATCCCATTCAAAAGACATATATATATATATATATATATATATATATATATATATATATATATATATATATATATATATTTTCCTAAACAGTATTGATTCAATGAATCGCCAAAAATATTTGTCCAAAATGTTAATTCACATTCAAAATGGCAGTCGTAAAAACAAACAGAAATTTCAGATGATTAAAATTAAGGACCTCCTTGCCTAATTTGATCAAAATTAAGGACTTTTAAGGATTAAAAATCGATTCCATAAAACTAAAGGACTCTTAAGGGCCATTTGAAGCCTGCGCTACGACGTACGAGTATCTCATATTTTAACAGCATTGATTATGCTTGCTCAAATTTTGACTTTGCTGAAATGAAATACAGAAGATCCTTTTATTTTTTCTAAACAGTTCATAATTAAACATGAGAACTAAATAATATATAATAATATTACAACAAAAAGACCATGCAGTAAACCAAATGAACCTCTTTTATTAACACCTACCTCTCAAAATTCTTTGTGTATGGTGGAACTATAAAGGAATTGTATATTATGAATTTTTGCCACCAAATTAGCATTAAATTCAGAAAAATACTATTCCCCAAAAGCAGTTTTAAAAGCAAAAATTGAAGCAAAGTGCCCAAAACTGACCAATCATCAACGTGTTATGTGTTATCTTTAAACACGACAATGATTGGCCTCACAACTCGATGCATGTTTGGCAAACACTGATTGAGTGTGACTAGGGTGTTTTGTAACTCTCCATATTCAAAAGACCTTACTCCTTCCAATTTTCATTTTTTTCAGATCATTTCGAAATTCTCTGCATGGCCTGAGATACACTTTTTTGGAGACTGTCAGCACATCAATTACTTCTTTACAAACCTAATGACTATTACTTCTTTACAAAAAGGAATTTACCAACTGCTGGAAAAGTGGCAAAAAGTCATAAAGCAAATTGGTGCTTATATGATCTACGAAATTTTATTGATTCATTTACTTATATTACAGCTTCATTTGCATTTATCATTAAAAAAAACTACAAAACTTTTTGGAAGACCAAATAGTTTTTGCTCTATCGGTTAGCTATAAAATTGTAAGTAATCTACAATGTTAATTTTTTCCCTGCCAATAAAATTCACTATTCATTCTGAATATGAGCTACTGGATTATTTCAGTATTTCTTGCCAGTGCAATTACGTATCCATTGGTCAAATAAAGATTGCCTTGAAATTTCACATTCAAAGGCATGATAATTATATTTGAAAGACAGAAACTACCAAATTCCATTGCCCATCAAACAACAATTAGAAAATCACATTTTTTTTGCTTGTCTCTTGGTAACCAAAATATTAAAAAAAGGAGAGAAAAAAGGCTTCTGTCGACAAATTAGATTTCCTGTAGGTGTTTCATAATCATAAAAAATCTTTCAGTTTTGGCTAATGATCTTAATTCTAATCTCTACCCTCTCTGCCATCAGCTTTTCAAGAATTTTTTTTCCTTATTGCTAAAATATTCTGGATTTTCTCATATAGAAACATGTCTTTTTTTTTATTAGTTTCACCCCCACAGCGGAAAGACTTAAGAAGAAGGTTCTTTTAAGTTTTAAAACTATTATAGGCCTGCAACAGTTTACTAGCATTACACGGATTCTTTTATTTTAAAATTTAGTTTTTCTATGTGTTTTGCTACAACTGGTTAAAGGCATTTTTCTTGAAACAATAATTTTGCTGATTTCAAAATTTGATATGAAGGTGCCAAAAAATAAGCATAATAAAAAGAATGAAATATCATCATCATACACATGTACTAAGATTTCTGTGCACTGCATATTATGAATCTACACAGAAAGAAAAATTATTAACTTGCTCACTTACCAGCCAAACAACCTTTATTTCGATGAAGATCTTTAAAGTGCTGATTAACATCTTTGTTAATGTTTACATCTTGAAACATCCTTGCTAATTTGTTTACATAATCAGCAGGCATACCAACATCCTTAATGAAAAAAAAAAAATTACACATAAGCTTTCATGAAAATAAATGTAATACATATACACACACACATATGAAACCTAAATAATTTATATTGTCTTCACATGAGTTATGTTGAAAATATATATATATATATATATATATATATATACAATGATCAAATATTAAAATTTCACTCACCCTTAACCATTCAACCATAATTTTGTCTTTCTCACTGTCAGCTGAAGACTCGAGAATGAGACGTCTTGTGAGATGAGATTTGTAATACCTCATGAAAATATCCTTATTTTGAACATACTTCAAAACTAAAAGCTGAAGAAATAAAAGACATATGACTTACAACAAATAAATTTTATAACCGTAGTATCTCATCCACACTGAAGATGGTGTATTAATGTTAAAAGAAATTCTTTAGACTGAAAGCAATTAAAAAAATATGCAAAATAATTATAGCATTTCTTCTGTACCACATAATTTCAGAGCTATTAATACAGTACCTGCTGCTTATTAAACTCGCTGGTTAATAAGTTCAGTTACTTAATACATTCAAATTTCGAGGAAAAAAAAAACAAATACACATTAATCAGTAGAAAAATCATTTATTAGAGACTGATTCTTCAATGCCAGTATACCCAGTTAATACCTATCAAAACTTTACGTAGTTCATCTATTGTATCCATTTCCATAGTCTGTCCAACATTGGTGTTTCTTATAAATAGAACTTCTAGCATTCAGCCTTTAGACAAAGGTATTATCAAATTTTGGGAAAATGCAAGCACTTCAAAAGCGATAAGTAAGTCGATATATTTGTTATGTGCCATGCATATTATAGGCATTGCTGGAAGGTTAATCTCTTGAAACAAGTTAATAACTGTTTTTGAAAATGTGGCTTTCATGTAGAGAAAGCCCAGAACAAATTGCAAACTATAGTCAATGATTCAGACATCAGTTGAAGTTATGTTATGAGGATTAATTTTTAGAATATGTATCAACTCACAACAATATATGCACAATAACTCACTATGAATATGTTAAAAGACATGTAAAACTGGCAGCAAAAATGATACAAGGGGGAAAAAATGAGACATGCTAGTATCAATCAAATCTAGAAAAGCACAGCAAGTTCTAAGAAAAACTCTTGAACTAAAAAGTGCTGGGGGGGGGAAGCTACCAGCAGTTTATGAATTTGAGAATACAACAGAGAAACTCAACAGGTTTTCAATTGCATTTTCAGTTTCGAAAAGATACAGAATAAGTTGTTTGTAAGAATTGAAACTTCATCAAGAATGTAATAATAAAAAATATTTTATAAAAAATTTAAACATAAATTTCAAAACTGATTAAATAGTTTAATTCTGGCATTAATTTTTAATTATTATTTTAGAATTAATTCAGTTGTTAGCTGCTGTTTTATTTGAAATGTTTAAGACTGATATCACGATTTGCAATACAAATCACTATATATTAAACTCAAAGATGTTTGGAATGGAAACGATTTTAATAAGCAGCAGGTACTGCACTTAAGTAATCTCTCACTTAAAATGCTTGATTACTATGCTAAAATAAGGACTTGCATTAACTTATATATTTACCCCTTTACATTTTCAGCATATGACTTCAAAATTCATTTGGTAGAAAGATAATAGACATATGTACGGCAAGTCTTTTGAGAGGAAAAAATAAACAGGTTAACCAGAATCGTATATGGTGACTCTGGAGCCAATCACATTATAGCGGGAGAAATGCTACATCATCTTTTGAGAGAAAGAGGAATAGAATTTGGGAAAATTAGTTCTCCCGAAGGATGCAGAAGTTTATTTGACCCTAGTAGATATTCAAATTGAAGTACAATCATTTCGAATAACTTTATTTGCGTTACTTACAGCAAAATATAACAGAATGTTTTCACAAATTATTTGATAAATTCCGAAGCACTTGAAAGATATGTTTGTTCTCCCTTACTTATAATATTATAATACTATCAGAGATTTTCATAAAAAATATACAGCTGATCTAGAAGCAGTTTTCGCCAGACTTGCTATTTAAATTTAACGCAAAACACGAGGAATGTAGTTTTCTTTGAAGTAAAGGGAAGTATCCTGGTCACCACCGGATTACTGGCGAAGAAGCAGAAGTTGATCCAGAAAAAACTTCTGCTATACAGAAGATGCTAGCTCCAAAAAATGTGAAACAAGTCCAGTCTTTCTTTCAGAACTGTCCTGGGCTCATACCGAAACTTTTGTAAATATCTACATCTCTAAGTAATCTAATTAAGAAGGTGAGGACCACAGGAAGAAAATTCTTTCCAGACATTAAAATAACTTCTCGTTAGCCCTCCCATCTTAAAGCAAAATGATGCAATGAGGTATTACACTATTCAGACAGAAACTGATAACTATGCTTTGGGTGGTACAAGGAAGAGGTTCAAAGAATCATCCAATAAATTATGGCAGCTGTTTGTTGTCAAACACCAAAAGAAATTACTCTAAAACAGAAAGAAAAGTCCTTGCTGTTCTATGGGCTTTGAATAAATTCCGTGGCTATATTGCTGGTCAAGAGATTACTATAGCATCTGATCACCAACCACTGAAATGGATTTTAAGCTTAACCTGTTTCAGACGGCAAGCCTGCAGAAGATAGTGCTCCCTCAGGACAAGAGCAGTTACACATGGACTGTGCTTACAGGCCGGGGCATTTTCTTCCGCTAAGACTAATACCCAATTTTGGAAAGCATGCATTACATAATAATGAATAAAATGTACACTTTACGTAGAAATGAAACCATTTTTAAATATGTGATTAAAGTTATCATGATTTCAATCATAACAAAAAATTTAATTAAAATAACTGATATTTAACAATTAAAATATAAATATATTGTATTTTACTATAACTAAAAGTACCTAATTAAACACTAAATGTTGATACAAAATATAAAAAACAGTAAAAATATTTACACTTAACATTATGAAATACTTGAAGAATATTGTAATAATTAATATTTCAAAGCAGTGTGAAAAATCTCAAAGCATGGATCAATGCTGAGACCGACATTGCATTATTATCATGCATAATTTGAATCATGCATGTCTATTATTATCATCTTCTAATTCAAAATCTAAAGATTCAGAACTACTATATGAAGAGCTCCAATAACTTATAGTTGTTTCACTGTCATCGTCGGAAAGGCCCATAAATGGATCATTCATAACTTACTATATTAGATATTCATTCATAACTTATTATATTAGATATATATTATTCATAACTTATATATTTAGATATTTTCTCCTCAGAAAGATAATGTGGTCTTTTAGCCATGGCTACATAAATGAAAAGTAAAACCCATGCTAGAATATCTCCCACAAAATCCCATCCTAAAATAGAATCGAAACTATAAACAACCACTTCAAAATGAGCTAAAAGGCCAAGTGTTTATGTTTACATTCATGAAAATCCAATAAATCACAGACACTTCATGACCCCATTCTGACCTCAGAGAGAGAAATACTAATGTAGGAGAGCAATCTTAGCAATCTTTTGAATGGAACATGGATTAGTAATGCTATCTGTTAGTAAATAATTCATTTCAAAAGCAGGATGCTATGCAACGATCCTCTGACTGCATAGGATTCGTTGTAACGCAAGGATGCCCCGTTAGGCTCTGGAGGGCCTCTAGCACGGATGTATATATGCGCCGTTCATCCCAAAAGGGTTACCGTCATCTCTGGGTAGACTTGCTAGGTAGGCTATGCAATTAGAGTCTTATAATTTTAAGCTGGAATACATCCGTGGGAAAGCTAATTTTGTTGTAGGTATGCTATCACGCCCAGTATGCAATCATGAAGGGAAATAATGTGAAATTTGTAAGATAATCATTGAAATGCCAACCAGAAGTGTAGCAGAAATTAGTGGAGAACAGCTGAAAGATACAGATTTTAAACAGATCATAGAATCTTTTGAAAGTGAAGTACGAGATGAACATTTTTCTAATTGGACCACAGGAGGTCAAATCAAAGAATAAAGAATCAAATCAAAGAATTTTGTATAACTATTTCCTAGATTTTGAATCAGAGGAATCTCAATTAGTAGTACCAATACAAGAGAGAGAGAAACATTTTTTAAACTATCATGAAGCTCCTACAACAGGATATAATGGTGCTGAAGTGATAAACTGCAGAATTTCCCAAAGGCTCACAAAAATGCCCAACTACATTGCAGATTATATAAAAAACTGTGATGAGTACAACCGTTAAAAACTTGATGTCCTAGGAAACTGTGCTAGGAAGGCTGCAACACATAAAAAAACTTTAAAAAAAACTTTTTAACTTTTCTCCTTTCATTTTGAACTCACTGGAGGGATTTTGTTCTCCGCCCCCTTAAAGTTTGAATTTGGATTTTGCCACCATTAATGGACAGCAGAAAAAACTATTGTGCAGTTATCTTCTAATGTGCAATGGTATAAGATTATGTAATCCTCACATAGCTGTACATACTACACTTGCAATTCTTTTTAAGTCACATTTAAAAGAAAATATTTTAAACATCATTATGTTGAATGTTTATTTTTTTGAAATAAAGAAATGTATGTTCCTGTTATAGTAATATATAACCGTATCTTCTTCAAAATAATTTAATTAATCTGTTAATTGCATGTTATGTTAGTCTAGCAAATGTTAACTGTTTCAGCAGTAGAGTAGGAAGTATAAATACATACCACTTCCTTTAATTTTCCTTCAATTTCATCTGATGTTAATTTTCTGCTAAGTGGTGTTTTTCTAAGTAGCATATCACAGTAATTGGCCAAAAGTTCAGGACAACGAGATTCTGGCTGAGTCTTATTGCCAACCCTATGGATAAGAATACACTAATACTCAAGTAATCAATCAATATTTTCTAACAAAATTGGTAGAACTGTTATATTTTATATAATATATTACTTAACAAAATTTATAATTCATGAAACTTATATAAAAGACAAAAAATAAATTTACCCTTTCTGTTTTGAAGGTAGCTCTAAACGAAAAACTGATGTATCATTGACAACTTGCTTAAAGGCCTTTAAATGAAATATGAAATGTTAAGCAAACAGTACTAAAATTAAAATGCTATACAAATAAATACTTCAACAACATATGATAAAAAGAGCTTCTTTTCAAATTATGCAATATACTATTTCTCTTCTAAATACGATATCTTATAATGAAAGATAATCATCAAAATTTATACTTAAATTAGAGGAAGTATAGTATATCTGAAATTAAAGAATGCATTCAAATTAGAGGACAAAAGAGTTAAAAAAGAAAAAAAGAGAAAGGGATTTTTTATAACATATGAAAGAAATTTAACAGAATACATACAGATACAAGATACAGATACATACAGATACAGATACAGACTCGAAGTTTAAACTATAGAGAGGGAAGCAGTGAAAATGATATTAATCACAACACAAAAAACATTATTATTACTTATTATCAAAAGTAAATTACAAAGCAGCTTTATGAGAATATGCTTGTTAACTGTCGATATCACAATCCTATAGTACTGATTACCTACCAAAGATATTCTTTGGGATACTGTATTTTCAAAAGATGCAAGAGGAAAAAATTACAAAATATGACCTCCCCCCCCAAAAGTGAAATATTTTATAGGATGCTAGATGAACATACATTCAGATCAATAACGGAATGTTCTATATCTTCTGTATATTTGAAAAGTGAAAAAATACACAATAACAAATTGCTTTTAAATCATTCAGTCTATCAATAAAATTTTATAACTTAAAAATTCATTAAAGTTTTAAAAATCTCTACACATAATAAAAGAAAGTCTGTCTGCATGTGTGTCTTTCGTTCGTGCTGTACGTAAGCTAACAGACCCAGGGCTACAAAATTTGGTACACAGGTGCATCTAGCCAGTGCTAGCTAGTACATAGGTACATCTAGCCAGTGCACCTCGAAGCGATTTTTTTCAAAATTCAAATTAAAAATTAAAATTTTTAAGATTCAAAATATGTCAATATATAAATTCAAGTATATCTTTGGAAATTTTGAATAAAAACTCCAATTTTTTGCAAGCATGCCTAGAAATACATCTACTTTAAGGTGATGGTAAAAATTTTATAGGTTTTAATTCAAATTTTTTTTTCAAAAAACTTATAAAAATTATTTGAAAATACAAATTTCAAAAATAAATGATAAAAAACGGGTGGATTTTATTTGGAATGAACCTAAATTTCAAAATGTGAATGGAAGAATCAAATAAGTTTTTTTAAAAAGAGAGAGATTAATAAATATATACCAAATTCAATTAACATAGAGGAGATAAAATTTTGAGAGCTAATTTTTTAAAAACTACTTCTGCAATTTTTACAAAACTTGTCAGTTTGGAGGTGTAAAATTGAAACATGGAAAAAAAATTAGCATGCCATTTCAGAAAAAGTTTGATTTTGTGCATATCCTAAGTTGTGCTTTCGAGACATGAAAAATGCAATTTGAATTTCGTCAATCAGCCCAGTAGAACGGGAGATATAGAACTGTCACATTTTTTTCCCCCACAGTGTACCACTTCATACATATCACATTCATCATTTAGGACCACTTAAAAGTACTCACAAAAATTATAGTACATATTTGCAGTTATTGACTCATTCACAAAATTTGTATGGCTTCACAAAAAAATCTATTGATAGCATCTAAGCAATATCTAAATTGAAAAATCAAAATTTACCTTTGGAAATCCTTTATGCATAATTTTCCAATAAAGGTTCAGCATTTACTTCTGAAGATTTTGAAGATTATTGTTTAATCAACAATATCCAGCATATTCAAATTACTACCCGATTGTTTCGTGCCAGCAGACAAATTGAGAGATTAAATTCGGTCATAATTTATGTACTCTCCAAATTATCGATTCAGAATCTGATAAAACAGTATACAAACAAACACTGGTGAATTTCAGCAAGTGTTTAATTCAACATGCCTATGGAGTATCAATACAACTCCATTCGAACTCACGTTTGGAACTACTAAATTGAAATCTGCTAATCAAGACAAAATTACAAATGTTAAATGCAGAGATCTAATTAGGTTTTCTCAATGCTCATGATGACCTTCTAAAGGAAGCTAAAAAGCAAATTTTGAAAATGCAGACTAAAAATTGCAAAATCTACAATTTACAATATAAAGCCCTCATGTAAGTTCCAGCTTCACAATGTAATGGCATTCAAGTGTACACAATACAAACCTGTTCTTAAACTCAAACCTAAGTTTTTTGGATTATACAAAACTAAGAAAATCACACCAAGCGACACAATGTTGAAAACATGGTTTCTTCATTATACCATAAAAACATGTACTTGTGCCAAATTTATGAAACCCTGGTGTCATTCTTGTTGGGATGGTGATGATGATATACCTAATTCAAACATTCTCTTATCATCTATAAGCACGACTTATTTCCATTAATTATACATGGAATATTTATGGAAGTTAATAAAATATAAATAGAGAAACAACCATGGATTTAACAGTTTTAACTCAAGTATTCTCAACAACCTGAAACTCTTACAGACAACTCTGATCTTCCACTGACTGTCGACATGACAAAAAGGCAGATGATTGGTTAACCACAGAGAGATATGACACCTGGACTGGTTCATCAGAACATGTTACTTGAACTTAAGTGCTTTACGGACATTTTTGCATATGAATTTATCAACACCATTTGACTTAACCTTCTCAACTTTTACTTTAATAATGAAAACTAACTTTTATTTTTTCATTTTCCCATGTGTTATTATTACAAGATCTTGAATCAATACCATTTTCATTTACCTGTATTATTTTAGTATTTTCTTTCGTTGTTTAACAATATCAGTATTTTCAGTTTTAGTGTATTTTATACATTAACATTCACTGCTTGCTCTTGTCATCTGAGGGCAGATGATGATATAGGATGGCAAATTATATGAGGCATTGGCCATGTAACTGTAACTGAGTTATGCAATCATTAGGTAGCATCTAGATAAGCACACAGGTGAGGACGAATGAAGAAGTTCGATTAAATAACGATTATTGTTCTTTTTGTATCATTTTTAATTCGTGTAAATAAATCATAATTCAGTAACAATCATATATGTGTAAATAAATTATAATTTAGTAATATTTCAATGAGTATAAGTGATGTTTTTTCTACATTTTGTTGGTTCCTCTATATATATATATGTCATAATTTCGAAGCACAGTTTTCATAGCTGAGTGGCAGGGCGTGAGAAAAAAGTTGATAGCAAACTAAGTTCAGCCAATTATCATCTTTATTTGCAGATTTCCAGGCCCACTAGAATAATTTCTTGTATACAATATACTCCTTACCACAATTATGATAATTTCTTGTACACATTGGTTTTTAAAAAGAATGACACAGGCATTTTACAGAAGTGAAGTGAGGAGATGTTAGCAATGTAGAGCTAGGCAGAAGAATGACGTAGTTATTGTGCCAAAAGTATTTATATCAAGTCTGAGTTATAAGTAGAGCTAATCTATGATTGGTTTAGTTGCCCTTTTCAAGCAGAATTACATAACAATAGAAAGATCTCGAATTAGGGAAAACAGATAAATTTAGGGAGACAGTACCAAATTTAGAATGTTAATTTTGAGGTTGCCAATTATTTTTGCAGCTATCATATTTTGTTATATCTTATACACACATACATGTATGTGCGTTAAATTGCTTATTTAATTGTATTAAATACAACAACTAATGTATATATTAACCTTGTGAGCGGCATGGGTTTTTGAATTGGTCAAGAAGTTGGGTATTTATACAGCATTTATTAGCTAAATTTATATAATTACTTATTTTAGCCTCTATTTTCATAAACTTACATTCATTAAGATTACATTTACATTATTAAAGAATGTAAGAAATCGAAATATCTTAAGTTATAAGCTAACATGTATCAAGTGACAAAAAATCTCATGGCCGGATGAAGCCGGTCATGCCGCTCGGATGGTTAAATAAGTTCTGTTGAATTATGCTACTTTAAATAAATTGCTGACAAAATTGTATTAAATACTACAATAAATAAAAATGTATATTAAATTCCATCTGCATGTACCATATTTATTCCCATACTTTCTTCCTTAGCCATAGGTTTCGAAAATGTTTTCAGCATTCATGCAGCTTTGAACTTCCTCAAGGCATTCACAAAATGAGCTGTACTAAATTATGAAATGAATTTGCCCATACAAGGAACGTTTTCATCTTAGTGGTTGATTTACTTGTGGATTTTGGATGTATAATCTCTAACTGATAAAGAAAAAATAGTGAAAAGTTCAAGAAGACAGTGCTAGACTAATGCTCTTGATAGGTTTAAAAATCATTGCACATGGTAAGACAAATGATGGTGATGATGGCTTGCAAGCTGTAGCAGATAACACAGACAGCAGTTCCAGCAGCATTAAATGATTTGAGGCCTGGGGATAGCAGTGGACAACAAAAAGAGTTGGCGTGATTCAGGATCCAGGGAAATAAAAATGAAGATATTAAATATTGTAATATTAATATTACTATGTATTCTTTTTAGAATGTAAGTTTCTCTTAGATAAATAACACTGTGGTAGTTACTATTAGCTCATCCATGAATACTTTTCATTTTTTATCGTAACCACATCCTTCAGAAATGAAATTATTCACATAATTTTCCACTCTAATTTTTGTATAGTAAAATTAAAATTAGTAAAAAAAGGGGGTATAAAAGTGAGTACAGTACATGTTAAATAATTTATATTGTATATATATTGAATGAATTCCTGATTTATCATTTATCCAGTTAATTTCATTTTCGTAGATTTTATAACATTTGACAAGAAAATGCACTTTTTCAAGCCCAAATTGCACCAATGCTGTTTTCTCTTGTCAATGTTGCTACAGAAGACAAGCACATTATATACACATGCCATTTTCATTAAGATTCAGGATCCAGGGAAATAAAAATTCAATGCAAAACATTAAAATTAGAAAAATTTGTATGACTGATTTGCTAGTTTGCAATGG